TGTCCCCTTCTGGCCCTTGTTCCTGGATGGCTGCGCCTCATTAGTCCCATTTGGTTTTTAGGGCTATCCACTCCCCGGCTGAATGGTGAACCTCGGAAATGACTTCACCACTGAGCTAAAAGGGTGTGTGGGGGCCATACTCTTGGGGTTTCTCCAGTCTCCTTTAGGCCAGTCAATCTGGGCTTTTTTGTGTGAGTTAGAATTTTGTTCTACGTCCTTCTCCAGCTCTGTCCAGAACCCTCTGTTGTGATCCTAGTCAGAGCAGTCAATGGTGGTAGCCGGGCACCATCTAGCTCTACTGGACTCAGTCTGGTGGAGGCCTTGGTAGCTGTGGTCCATTTGGAATGACATTTTGTTCACTGTTTTTTATTTCCAGTACTGGACCTGGCACATACATAATAAATATCAGTAAAACATTTTTGTCAGATCACTGATCTTTAATTCTTTTACAGGAAATTGAAAATGGTTTCTACCTCTAATTTCTAATGAAAACTGGCTTAGGGAAGAGAAGCATTGTGAATAACAGCATTTAATGTACATTTTGTTATGAATTAAATTGTATCCCCCAGAAGTATATGTTGTAAATCCTAACCCCAGTACCTTTGGATGGGGCCCTGGTGGCACAGTGGTTGAGCGTTTGGCTGCCAGCCAAAAGGTTGGCAGTTTGAATCCACCAGATGCTCCTTGGAAACCCTGTGGAGCAGTTCTGCTCTGTCTGTAGGGTGACTATGAGTAGGAATTGACTCGACGGGTTTTTTGCTTTTTTATACCTATGGATATTTGAGAGTAGGGTTTCTTTTTTATATTAATGAGGCCATATCAGCGTAGGGCATGTTTTAAGCCAGTTGATTTTGAGATATAAAAAGAGCAGATTAGGCACGGAAGCAAGCAAGCAGAAATGGGGGAAAGATCGCCATGTGGAAATTGCCACGGAATGCTGAGGAGAATGCTAAAGAAGCTGAGACAAGTGTTTTACCCCAGAGAGTAGAGAGAGCCTTTTCCTAGAGTTGGTGTCCTGAATTCAGGCTTCTAGCTTCCTAAACCATGAGAAAATAAATTTCTGTTCGTTACAGACACCCACTGGAGGTATTTCTGTTAGGGCAGCACTGAGAGACTAAGAAATATTTATATATCGGCCTGTATGCATAAAGAAACTAAAAGGGAAGTAATAACAATGATTTATCTGTAGAGGTGGGTTGGGAACTAAGAGGATGGTAGATAAAGGTGGAGGAAGATACTTCACTGTAAACATTTAAAAAAATTTTGACCCACAAGAGTATTACTTTAAAATTGTTTTATGTAATTTTTAAATATCTGTTGAGACTATATTATAAATACAGAAGTATATGTTAAGATAAATTTCTTTTTCTACCTTTTCTGTGCTTTTATGTTTTCAGCATTTATTTCATTTCACTATGTCTGGGTCAGTGATTCTTATTTTCTCCCCCTGAAAAAAAACCACCTTTGAGAATCCGTAAAAGCCATGGATCTTCTTCCCAGAAGAATGAGCTTGTGTATATAAGCAGTTTTGCATACTGTTTCCAAGGTTTACTGATGCTTTGATCTAGGCCAAATATTGTTAGTATTAATATGTCAAGGATATTTTCAAAATCTGTCATGGGTTCAGTGGTGGGTTTATGTGCAAGGTAATCCAGTGTGGGGGTGAGGGGAAGCACTAAAACCCTGCCATTAGCAAGCTGCATGACTTTGAGCAAAACTTATTTTACTTCTCTTGTCTTTGGTCTCCTCCATGTCAGGCAAATGGTATAGTGTAAAGTAGACCTGGCGTTTGTTGTGTCTTGTCTTTGCTACTTACTACCTGTTTGACCTTGTACAAGTTCTCTGAATGTTATTTATACTGTTTCTCTTTAAAAATAAAATAATTCCAACTTCTTTGGGTTTTAAAGATAAAATGAAAAGAGTTGTTTGAAAAAACTTAGTAATATTTGTTACTGGTAGGGACGTGATAAAAGTTAGCTGTCATCCAGAAAATTGGCTAGACTGGAACTAGATGTTCTCTAAGGTTTCTTTTACCAACAAAGTTTTATGATTCTGTTTTCTAAAATTCTTGTTACAACAGAAATTTTTGGAAAATTTGTTTTGATAGCATTGACCTGAAAACATATGGGAAAATAGTGAAGTATTTTAAATCTGTACAACTGATGTTGGCCATATTTTCTGCTTCTACAGTGCCAGACGTGTAGTAAAGACTCAAATACTTGCTTAATTTTAAGATTCATGAAAGAAAATATATAAGTTAGAATTTCTTAATTTGTAGTTCTTAAATACCCTACAGTCTTTGAATACATTTTCATAGGTATGTGAACTCTTTGAAATTATATGTGAAGTTTTTCGTGTACCTGAATTGGAATGAGAATTTATAGCTTTCATAGTGAATAAGACAAATTAGGTCCCTGCTGTCATAGAATTTATGTTCTCATAGGGGAAGAGAGACACTGACTGAGTAAACAAAAATATAAGCAAGAAAAATACAATTTATAGGTAATGCAAATATTTTATAGATAATTGAGAGTGATGAAAAGAGACTTGGAGGTTATTTTGGAATTTAAGTGCTCAGAGAAGGTTCTGAGGAGTTGACATTTTTGATGATACATAAATGAGAAAGAGTAGCCTCCAACTCAAGGATCAGGTAGTGAGAATAGCTAGTGTTAAGACTGTAAGATTGGGAATAAGCTTCATCTGAGTAGCCAGAGGGTTGTGGGGTGATGGGGACAAGTGATGAAGTTGTGGAAGTAGTTACAGGTTGTATCATTTAGGGCTTTATAAATCAGAGTAGCCGGGATTATTTGAAATATAATGGGAAGCCATTTCAGGGTTTTAAGGTGGAAAATGATGAGAAAAAGAGGCCCAAGACAGAGCCTTGACAACTCCAGCATTTAGAAGTTAAAAGAGATCAGAATAGCCAGTGAGATGGGAAGAATAAGGGGAATGGGATTCCTTGACACTTTCAAAAGGCCATCTGTTTCATATCTTGCAGAGAAGAGAAGATTAGTACAATGACCTGCCCTTTACATTTGACAACAAGCTTGCCATAAGTACTGAATGACTGTGAAGTCAGTAGCTATTAGGGAATGCAGCTTTGTGACATTGGTTTATACCAACTCCAGTACCTTACATGGTTTTTGAATGAAACTACAAATAGTTTTCCCTTCTTTATATTTAATCTGTAATCTATGGGTGGTAATATGGTTAAGAGTTTGGGCTATTCGGCCAGAACATCCAGATTAATATCTCAGCTCTCTTAGTTTACTCAGCCTCTCTAAACCTCCGTTTCTCTCATTTGTAAAGTGGAATAACAGTAACCAAAAAACTAAACCAATTGCCATCAAGTTGATTCTGACTCATGGCAGAGTAGAACTGCACGCCGTAGAGTTTTCATGGCTTTGATCTTTTGGAAGCAGATCTCCAGGCTTTCTTCCAGGGCACCTCTTGGGTGGGTTCGAATCTCCGTCCTTTTCGTTAGTAGCTGTGCGCTTAACTGTTTGCACCACCCAGGGACCAGGATCATAATGTTGTTGTATGCCATCGAGTTGATTCAGACTCATAGTGGCCCTATAGGATAGAGTAGAACTGCCCCATTAGGATTCCTAGACTATAAATCTTTATGAGAGCAGATTGCCAGGTCTTTTCTGTCCTGCAGCAGCTGTGGTTTCAAACTGCCAACCTTTGGATTAGCGGCCGAGCACTTAACCATTTTGCCAGCAGGGCTCCTTTAGGATAATAGTACCTACCTTTTCTAGGTGTAAGGCATTTAGCACAGTATTTGGTAAACAGCTCTATAAATAGTAAAAAAAATGGTAATGATGTGCTATAAAATATTTGTATTTTGTATTCTTTTCTGTTTGTATAGTTTTTAGTGCTTAAGAGAATAAAATATTGTGTTTTATCTTTACATTATGATTAACAAATTTTAAGTTCTCTACAGGGCCATACTTACAGAACCATTAATTCTATCTACTTCATTACAAAGATTAGCGTAGGGTCAAATGCTTTATAGGCATTAATATAAACTATTAAGCTAATCTATAGAAAGTTTCATATGGATGATACTTTATCAATTTAAATGTGGTAAAAAAAAGCTGTAGGGGTGAGACTGGACTTAAGGTTCCTTTTGAGTAGTTGAATTGAAAAGGAAGACATTTTCAATTTTTTCCTTTTTCTTTATTTTCTAGGTTATATTTCACACTATGTGCTGACTGTATCTACAGAAGATATTAAAAAAAAAAAAGACAAACTTTTTTCAAAGATTTTGATTCCAGTGGAATCTGTGCTTTAGATTTTTTTGTGTGTGTGTGTTAGTAAATTGTAACTCCAGAAGCAATGCCTGTACAAGCTCCACAATGGACGGATTTCCTCTCCTGCCCAATTTGCACTCAGACTTTCGACGAAACGATTCGAAAGCCCATCAGTTTGGGCTGTGGCCATACTGTCTGCAAGATGTGCCTGAATAAACTCCACCGCAAGGCTTGCCCATTTGACCAGACCACTATCAATACAGACATTGAGCTTCTCCCTGTGAACTCAGCATTGCTGCAGCTAGTGGGTGCTCAGGTAAGATGAGTGATTTAATACTTTTTAATTTCTCGATGTGTTTGTTCCTCCTGAGGGAAACCTGTGGAATTAAAATTGGGTAATATTGCCTTTTATTTAAGAAGTTACAATTCTGTTAGATACTATACATATCCTTTATTTCAGTATATTAGGAGACTATTGTGGTAGTCCATTGTTTTTCAGTCATAGTTCAGTAACATCCATTTAATCTAGGGGTCACCTTTTCAACAATCCTAGCTGTTTAGCCCCCGAAAGAATCTAAGGAATAAGTAATAAGGTCCTCTTTGCCTTGAGGAAAATACCGCTCATAAAATCATTGCACTTTAACTCAGTAGGCGAGGTGAAGCTGCTTCAGGCGTATTTACTTAGTAGATCCTAATAGAAATAAAAATGAGGAGGGTGATAAAAAACTGTAACGCATAAGCAACAAAATAAATAAAAATATAAAACAAAACTTAAAGCATACCTTTTGGGAACCATTTATTTAGAGTAGGAACAAATATCTCTAGGAACCTAAATATAAAAGTTAGTCTGGTAATTCTGAAGGTAATACTTTAAAAGCTTTTTGCTAGTATTCTCAAATTAGAGATAAGTTTCCTCAGAAGGGTTCACAAGGCCAAGGGAGCCAACAAAGGGATCAGGTTTTTGAGAGCTGGATACAATTCTTATTTATCTCACTACTAAATTTGTACAGTATGAGTTTGAAGTCCCATATAATTCATCATAAATCATTTTCCAAATAAAAATACTGGAAATTTGGATCTGACACCACTAATCTTTTATAGATTGATCTTCCTATAAGCTGTTAAAACAGGGAAGGTTGATATTATGTATGTTGGAAGAAAGGAGAGCTGTCACAGAATAGCTTATTCAAAGGGAAACAGTTTATTTACAAGCAAGCCTATAATGTCACTAGCAACACCACAAAATAGTTGTCAGAAGGGAAAATGCAATTGACTCTTTGTCTTTTCTTTTGGAACTTAATTTTTTTTATTTCATAATCACTTTTTCTTTCTATTTCAAAGTTCCAGTATGACACTTTAAAAAGCTGACTTCTTTAAAAAGTTAACTAAGGATGAACTAATTCTTATTCTCTGTAACGAATAAGACCTTGTCATATCAACTCGAAGCCCTGGTGGCACAATGGTTAAACATTTGGACTGCTAACTGAAAGGTCGGCAGTTTGAACCCACCAGCTGCTCTGTGGGAAGAAGATATGGTGATCTGCTTCCATAAAGATTACAGCCTTGGAAACCCTATGGGGCAAATTCTGTCGTATAAGGTCACTATGAGTCAAGATCGACTCAATGGCAATGAGTTTTGTGATTTTTGTCATGTCATAACAAACAACTAATGTTTATGACATTTGAGGATAATATCATCAATGCATCCCTACCCAAACTGTTAAGTGCTCTACTGCTAACTGAAAGTTAGTGGTTTAAGTCTACCCAGAGATGCCTCAGACAAAAGAGCACAGTTCTACTCTGACACACATGGGATTGCCATGACTCGGAGTTGACTTGACTGCAATCGATTTTTTTTTTATTTAATTTTTTAATTATTTTCTAGACCTTAACACAGGATTTGGAATATAGAAGAAGCTGAATATGAATGACTTCAAATGTGTCTGATTCAGAGTTGGTCTCAATACAAGTAAACCTAGAATTAACTAAGCTCATTTTATCCAAATCTCCAATAGTGTATGAAGCAGAAGGGAACATTTTCTCTAGAACTAGTAGGAAAAGAGTGAAACACCATATCTGGTATCTTCTAAACAGTATACGTTGTTGTTATTGTTAGGTGCCATCAGGTCGGTTCTGACTAATAGCGACCTTATGTGTGGTAGAATGAAACACTGCCCATTCCTGAGCCATCCTCATAATTATTGTTATGCTTGAGCCCATTGTTGCAGCCACTGTGTCAGTCCATCTCATTCAGGGTCTTCCTCTTTTTCACCGACCCTCTATTTTACCAAGCATGATGTCCTTCTCCAGGGACTGGTCCCTCCTGATAACATGTCCAAAGTATATGAGACAAAGTCTTACCATCCTTGCTTCTAAGGAGTGTTCTGGCTGTACTTCGACCAAGACAGATTTGTTCCTTCTTCTGGCAATCCATGGCATACTCACTATTCTTCACCAACGCCATCATTCAAAGATGTCAATTCTTCTTTGTGTTCCTTATTTATTGTCCAGCTTTCACATGCATATGAGGCGATTGAGAATACCATGGCTTCGGTCAGGCACACCTGAGTCCTCACAGTGACATCTTTGTTTTTACACACTTAAAGGAGATCTTTTGCAGCAGATTTGCCCAATGCAAGGAGTCTTTTGATTTCTTGACTGCTGCTTCCATGGGTGTTGATTGTGGATCCAAGTAAAATGAAATCCTTGACAACTTCAGTGTTTTCTCTGTTTATCATGATGGTGCTTATTGGTCTAGTTGTGAGGATTTTTTGTTTCCTTTATGTTGAGGTGTAATCCATACTGAAGGCTGTGGTCTTAGATCTTCATCAGTAAGTGCTTCAAGTCCTCTTCACTTTCAGTAAGCAAGGTTGTATCATCTGCATATCCCAGGTTGTTAATGTGTCTTCCTCCAATCCTGATGCTGTGTTCTTCTTCATATTCTCCAGCTTCTTGGCTTGTTTGCTCAGCTTACAGATTGAATAAGTACAGTGAAAGGATACAACTCTGACACACACCTTTCCTGGCTTTAAGCTCCTTATTCTGTTCATATGACTGCCTCTTGGTATATGTACAGGTTCCTCATGAACACAATTAAGTGTTCTGGAATTCCCATCCTTCTCAGTGTTATCTATAATTTGTTATGATCCACACAGTTGAATGCCTTTGCATAGTCAATATAAAACACAGGTAAACATCTTTCTGGTATTCTCTGCTTTCAGCCAGGATCCATCAAACATCAGCAATGATATCCCTTTTTTCCATGTCCTCTTCTAAATCCAGCCTGAATTTCCGGCAGTTCCCTGTCAGTGTACTGCTGCAACTGCTTTTGAATGATTTTCAGCAAAGTTTTACTTGGGTGTGATAGTGATGATATTGTTCGATAATTTCTGCATTCTTTTGGATCACCTTTCTTTGGAATGGGCATAAATATGGATCTCTTTCAGTCGATTGGCTAGGTAGCTGTCTTACAAATTTCTTGACGTAGATGAGTGATCCCTTCCAGCGCTGCATCTGTTTGTTGAAACATCTTAATTGGTATGCCATCAATTCTTGGAGCCTTGTTTTTTGCCAGTGCTTTCAGTGCAGCTTGGATCTCTTCCTTCAGTACCATTGGTTCTTGATCATATGCTACCTCTTAAAATGGTTGAACGTCATCCAGTTCTTTTTGGTACGGTAACTGTGTATTCCTTCCATCTTTTGATGCTTTCTGTGCTGCTTAGTATTTTGCACATAGAATCCTTTAGTATTGCAACTCGAGCCTTAAATTTTTTCTTCATTTCTTTCAGCTTGAGAAATCCCAAGCTGTTTTTCCCTTTTGGTTTTCTTACTCCACGTCTTTACACATGTCATTATAATACTTTACTTTGTCTTCTTGAGCCACTGTTTGAAATCTTCTGTTCAGCTCTTTTGCTTCATCATTTTTTCTGTTCGCTTTAGCTACTTGACATTCAGAGCAAATTTCAGAGTCTCTTCTGACATCCATTTTTGTCTTTTCCTTCTTCCCTGTCTTTTTAATGACCTCTTGCTTTCTTCACGTATGATGTCCTCGCTGTTTTTCCACAGCTCATCTGGTCTTCGGTCATTAGCGTTCCATACATCAGATCTATTCTTGAGATGGTCTCTAAATTCAAGGTCGTATTTGGGCTCTCGTGGATTTATTCTAATTTTCTTCACTTTCAACTTGAACTTACATATGAGCAATTGATGGTCTGCTCTGCAGTCAGCCCCTAACCTTGTTCAGACACATTGAGCTTTTCCAGTCTCTTTCCACAGATATAGTCAGTTTGATTCCTGTGTATTTCATCTGGCAAGGTCCATGTGTATAGCTGCTGTTCATGTTGTTGAAAAAAGATACTTGCAGTGAAGGAGTCGTTGGTCTTGCAAAATTCTATCATGCGATCTCCGGCATTGTTTCTGACACCAAGGCCATATTTTCCAACTGCCAATCCTTCTTGTTTCCAACTTTCACATTCCGATCACCAGTAATTATCAGTGTATCTTTGATGAAATTCAGACTGCAGAAGTTGGTATTTATTTTGTAAAATTGCATTTGTGTATAAAATTTCCATTTTACTATCTTTTTTATATTTTCTTATAAGTAAGAAATTCATGGGACGAGGTAGAGGGATGAGGAAATAATTCAATTAATATTTGAAGTATGTTTTTATAAGACTTAATTCTTTTCTTTTTCTTAGATTGTGGGTCTTTTGTCTTCTTTTTAATTGCACAAGCAATACAGGAAAAATGAACACTTCGGGAGGCTCCATCTAGTCCTACTGCTCTACTCAGTTCCCTGTTTAAATTAACCACTGTTACCATATATGTGTTTTCAGATCTTTTTTTTTTCCTTTTATTTACTTATTTATTTCCATACAAAATTTATACGTACTTTGTTATGTGACTGTAATTGCCCTCCGCATACTGTGACAGCACACTCCTCCTTTCCACCTGATTGCCCGGGTCAATTCAACCAGCTCCTAACCCTCTCTGCTTTCCCATCTCACCTCCAGACAGAAGCTGCCCGTTTAGTCTCTTGTATCTACTTGAGCTAAGAGGCACACTCCTCACAAGTATCACTTTATGTCCCATAGTCCAGTCCAATCCCTGTCTGAAGAGTTGGCGTTGGAAATTGTTAGTTCTGGGCTGATAGAGAATCCAGGGGCCATGCTTTCCAGGGTTCCTCCAGTCTCAGTCAGACCATTAAGTCTGGTCTTCTTACTAGAATTTGAGTTCTGCACCCCACCTTTCTCCTGCCCCACCTGGGACTCTCTGTTATGTTCCCTGTCAGGGTGGTCATTGGTGGTAGCCGGGCACCATCGAGTTCTTCTGTTTTCAGATCTTCTTAAAGAGTGTACATAATATGTTTTAATATATACACAAATAAATATACATGAACATTTAATACATATATGTATATTTAAATTGATAGCTTCATTCTGACAGCAGCCTGTTATTCCAAAGTATGGATTTATTAGGCCTTATTTAGCCATCCATTTTTTTTGTAGAACCTTTAGGTTGTTTGTGATTGTTACCCTTTGTGATTTTTGTTCTGTTACAAACTATGCTTCAGTGAGCATTCTTAATAAAGTTTTCTAAGATCGTAGTTGTTGTTAGTTGCCGTCAAGTTGCTTCTGGCTTATGGTGACCCCATGTATGCAGAGTAGAACTGCTTCATAGGGTTTTCAAGGCTTGACCTTTCCAAAGCAGATCACCATGCCCATCTCTGAGGCACTTCTGAGTGTGTTTGAACCACCAACCTATCGACTAGAGGTTGAACATAGAATTTCTAGGTCAAAGAGTATGCATATTTTTAATTGTAATAGTTGTTGCCAGATAGCCCTCAAAAAAAGGATATTCTGAGAGAAAGGAAACCAAAGACTCATAGTAGAAACTAGTCTGCAGGATTGACAGTCAACACAAGCCATGGCCTCATCTACCCTGAGACCAGAAGAACTAGATAGCGTCCAGCTATCACTAATGACTGTTCTGATCAGGGCCACAATAGATGGATCCTGATAGAAGAGGAGAAGAATGTAGAACAGAACTCAAATTCTTAAAAAGTCCAGGCTTACTAGACCAGTTGAGACTATAGAGCGTTCCCTGAGACTATAGTCCTGAGATACTCCATAAACCTTGAACTGAAGGTACCTTATAACAAGTTGGCTCATAAAATATAGGATATTACCAGTGACTACTGCGCACCCTTTAAAAATCATGTGTATGAGACCAAATGGTAAAAGTTATTCTAGAGCAAAGATGAAAGGGTAAGGGCACAAGGAAACCAGATTACTGGAAACAGAACATCCAGAATGGAATTAATGAGAATGTTGACACATTGTGAAAAATGCAGCCAATGTCACTGAAAAATCTGTGTAGTAATTGTTAAATGAGAATCTAATTTGCTTTTTATACTTCTACTGAAAACACAATAAAATATTTTAAAAGAAGTAGGGGGACACAGGAACCAATTGAAAGAGCTCCAAAGGACCGAAGCCAGAACAATTTAAGTAACAGAGTAAATAAAGTAGTATTGGATTATAATCAAAAGTATAAAATACCCGTGGGTCCATACTGATAAAAACAAATGATTGAATAAATAAATTATTAGAGGAAAGAGACAACTCTCCCATGCCAAAGAGTTCCAGATAATTTATGTAGATACTCCACTCTCAAGGTGATGGAGCATAAGTCCTCACTCTCCAAGTTTGGGCTGCGCATAGTAACTTCATTCCAAAGAGCACAGTATAGAAGAGGGAAGGTAACTTTACAGTGGAGAAAACTGACACACACTACCTAAGCCAGATAATCAAGGTCGACATCAACAGTGATAAGTCATGTCGTTAGTATATATCCTTGATATGATGGGAAGAAATTGGTGCTTTTCCTGTATGGTTTTCCTCCCCAAATCCCATAACCCAGTATAATCATTAGAAAAACATCAGACAAATCCCAGTTGAAGGACATTCTACAACATACCTCACCAGTACTCCTCAAAACTGTCAAGGTCATAAAAAACAAAGAACGTCAGAGAAGCTGTCATAGCCAGTAGGAGCTTAAGGAGAGAGAATGTGGTAGCCTGGATGGAATCCTGGAACAGAAGAAGGGCATTAGGTACAAACTAATAATGTATGACTTAATAATAGTGTGTCAATATTGGTTCATTAATTATAGCAAATATACCATACTAACATAAGATGTTAATAATAGAATAATGGGAACTCTCTGTATTATCTGCTTAATGTTAATTTTTCTCTAAATCTAAAATTGCTCTAAAAAATCAAATTTATTTTTTAAAAAGAACAAAGGATCCGAGTAGGCAGTTCTCAAAAAAAGATACACAAATAGCCAATAAACACACAAAAAGATCCTTAACATCATTAGTCATCAGGGAAATATAGATGAAAACCACGATGAAATACTATATTACACCCATTAAAAGAAAAAAAAAAAAAAAAAAAACCAGTTGCCCTCGAGTCAATTCCAACACATAGTGACCCTACAGGACAGTGTAGAACTGCCCCCATAGGTTTCCAACGACCAGCTGGTGGAGTCAAGCTACAGAACTTTTGGTTAGTGGCCAAACACTTAACCACTGCACCACCAGGGCTCTGATTACACCCATTAGGATAGCTGTAATCAAAAAGACAGACAACTAATAAAGATGTAGAGAAATTGGAAGCCTCATGCTCTCCTGGTGGGTATGTAAAATGGTGTATACTCTTTGGAAAACAGCCTGGCGGTTCTTCAAATGGTTAAACATAGAGTCACCATATAACCCAGCAATTCTACTCCTAGGCCTGTGCCCAGGAGAAACAAAAACATATGTCCACGTAAAAACTTGTTCACAAATGTTCATAGCAGCATTACTCATAATAATCAAAATATAGAAACAGCTAAAGGGTCCATAAACTGATGAACGGATAATAAAATATGGTATTTCCATTTTCCAAATCAAACTGGTTGCTGTCAAGTTGATCCCAACTCATAATGATCCCATGTGTTACAGAGTAGAGCTGCTCCATAGGGTTTTCTTGGCTGTAATCTTATAGAAGCAGATCTCCAGGCCTTTGTTCCGTGGCACCACCGGGTAGGTTCGAACTGCCAATCCTTAGGTTAGTAGTTGAGCACAAACTATTTGCGGCTCCCAGGAATCTATAATGGACTGTTACTCAGTATCTTAGTTAACTAGTGCTGCAGCAACAGAAATACCACCAGTGGATGGCTTTAACAAACAGAAGTTTATTCTCTTGTGGTCTGGTAGGCTAGAAGTCCAAATTCAGGGTGCCAACTCCAGGGGAAGGTCCTTGTCATCAGTCTTCTCCGTCCTAGGAGCTTCTCAACGCAGGAATCTCAGGCCCAAAGGATGCACTCTGCTCCAGGCATTGCTTTCTTGGTGGTATGAGGTCCCCCTGTCTCTCTGTTTGCTTCTCTCTTTTATATCTCAAAAGAGATTGATTTAAGACACAACCTAATATTGTAGATTGAGTCCTGCCTCATTAACATCATAGAGGTAGGATCTACAACACATGGGAAAATCACATCAGATAACAAAATGGTAGACAATCACACAATACTGGGAATCATGGCCTAGCCAAGTTGACACATTTTGGGGGGACACAGTTTAATCCATGACACTCAGGGATGAAAATAAATGAAGTACTGATAATACTACAACATGGATGACTCTTGATAAAATGCTAAGTGAAAGAGTCAAATCAGAAAAGACCACCTGTTGCACGGTTCTGTTTATGTGAAATGTCCAGAATAGGCAAATCCATAGAGACATAAGGTAGATTAGTGTTTGTCTAGTGTGGGGGGTAGTGGGGAGAAAATGGGGTGATTGTTAAAGAATATGGGGTTTCCTTTTTGGAGTGATGAGATTATTCTAAAATTGACTGTGGTGATGATTGCTCAACTGTGAATTTTACACTTAAAATTTTGTAACACTGATACCAAAACAAAAAAAATGGCACGTATTTTTTGCATGTGTAGAAAAAGTCTATTGAAAGAATTCAGTAAATTTAGTAGGAGTTTGTTAGAGTAACAGTACATAAAATGTACTCAATAACATATGTGTTTAATTTGTGAACACTCAAAGACCTTTTCATTTGACCTCCAGGTCCCTGAGCAGCAGCCCATTACCTTGTGTAGTGGGATTGAAGACACAAAGCATTATGAGGAAGCAAAGAAATGTGTAGAAGAATTAGCATTGTACCTGAAACCACTCAGCAGTGCTAGAGGTAAATCTAATGCAGTTATCCATGGTAGGCAAATGTTTATTAACGATGTTTCTATTACCACAAAAATTGTTGGGGTATAAATCAATGTTAATGAAGTTTATTTATTGTAAACCAAACCCACTGTGTGCTAAATAATATCATTAGAAAGCATATCCAATAAAGTAGTGAATTCAGACTATGTGATATTGGAAACATTATTTGAATGAGTTGCAGAAGTAAGTATAAATATACTAGTGGTTCAGAAAGATTCTTCATCGTTTGACAGCTCTAAACTGTCTGCCTTGTATTCAGTTTTATATGGCATGCTATAGGGGATATAATAAAAGTGGAAGTTGCTATTACTGCCCTGAAGGGCTTGCTATTTCATTAGAAAGATAAGACCAACCATAATGAAATAATACGCAAGAACTGTAATGACCTGACGATTTGGGTCTTTAATCATGTTGTTTGGGCTTTTTTCCTCATGCTTAAAATGAATAATGGTATACTTAATGTTATAATGAATGGTAAGTTTTTATGAAATAACAGCTTTGTATTCTTTTTAAAATGCTAACTAGGCTTCACTGGCATAGTTTGCTTTATTCTTTGGGTATTCTAGTACAATCCAGAATTGTTCACATACCCCCACAAATCAATCAGCCCATCAGAGGAAGTGCTCCTGGACTCTAAAATTGTACTGTAAACCTAGTGTCTTAGTTATCTAGTGCTGCTGTAACAGAAATACCACAGTGGGTGGCTTTAACAAACAGAAATTTATTTTCTTACAGTTTAGTAGGCTAGACATCCAAATTGAGGGAGCCACCTCTAGAAGGAGGCTTTCTGTCTCAGTTCTAGGGGAAGGTCCTTGACTCTTCAGCTTGTTTCCTGGTTCCTTGGAGATCAGCATGTAGCTTGGCTTTGATCTTCCCCCATCTTTCTTGCTAGCTTGCATTTTTTCTCTGTTATATCTCAAAAGAGATTGACTCAAGATACACCCTGCACTAATCCTGTCTTGGTAACATAACAAAGACAGCCCATTCCCAAATGGGATTCTAACCACAGGCCTAGAGGTTAGGATTTACAACACGTATTTTTGGGGGGACATAATTCAATCCATAACACCTAGAAATAACTTTTTTTTAATTCTCTTTTAAAGGAGTGGGTCTGAATAGCACTACTCAGAGTGTTCTGAGTCGTCCAATGCAGAGGAAGCTGGTGACTCTGGTTCACTGCCAACTAGTGGAAGAAGAAGGCAGGATTCGTGCCATGAGGGCAGCTCGATCATTAGGTGAACGAACAGTTACAGAGCTTATCCTCCAGCACCAGAATCCTCAGCAACTTTCTTCCAATCTTTGGGCAGCAGTCAGGGCTAGAGGCTGCCAGTTCCTTGGACCAGGTATATTATTAAAGTTTGATATTTACTACATCAGTAATTCTGAAAGTATGGTGTAAGGACTACAAGTGATGTACAAGGACTAGTTCTTTGCAATATTCTGTTGTTATCAAGTAATATCCCACCTGGTAATCATGGCTTGGGAAATTCCATGCAAATTAGTTTTTCAGAGAACTTAACATTTTTCTTTTAATGCCAAAAGTTTATTCATTTTTTTGGAAGTTTTTCTAAAATGTAGTAATCATGTATCTGCTTTCTTAAAATATACTGAATGTAATACAAAATTATCCAAAAATGGTTAAAAGTTGTCATGGTGTATATCTGTTATTTTATTGCCTATTAACTAAGTGGTACCTGCAGAAATTACTGACTATTGCTCTTCTAATAAAAAGGCTTATCATAGCTTTCTGCATATGATAGATTTTTACTTTACCCAACTTTTTCTAGCAATGCAGGAAGAAGCTCTTAAGTTGGTTTTGTTGGCCTTAGAAGATGGGTCTGCTTTGTCAAGAAAAGTCTTGGTTCTCTTTGTGGTACAAAGATTGGAACCACGGTTCCCTCAAGCCTCTAAAACTAGCATTGGGCATGTTGTCCAGCTCCTCTATAGAGCCTCCTGCTTCAAGGTATGAATCTATATTAAATATCAGCTTGAAAGGAAACATTGTCCTTTCCCTAAACTTAAATAGTAAAACTTTGTCCTTTCCCTAAACTTAAATAGTAAAACTTTGAGTTTAATAGTTGCCTTATCTTTTCTTTTTTTTTAAAGAACATAGATGGTGTTCTATTCTAGTTAAGTTCTGTGGTATTGGATTTTGAATGTTGGATATTGAATAACGTAGATCAAACCATGGCTTAGAGATTTCTGTATTTTAAGAGACTAATAAGCTGCCTCAGTTTCCCATCAAGATTATAAGCAGAATTGATCTGAAGCGACAGTCATTGAAGTTCAAATAAGTTTTATTTGGCTGTTTATGTGTAATTCCCCTATATAGTACTGGAGCTCCAATTACCATTTCAGTTTGCTGCCTGTATAGTAATGCTGGACATTTTCTTTTATAGCCCAAACTGAATTAGCACCGCTTCAAACATTGGTGTCCACTATCTCTCATTTATTATTTATCCTATATTCTTAACTTCTTAAAGTCAAGGCTTCTTGCTTCTAACATAGGCCATAACCAGTACTTCATGGAACAGGGAAGCATGTCTCTATAATTTTGTTAATTTATACTAGCTATAAGGAAATTCATTCCTGAGTCACCGTATTTCATCTGGCACTCGTAAGCTACAAAATCTCATATTAGTAATCAAATGATTCACAAAGTCAACAGAGGAGCGTACAAGTTTAATTTTGAAAATTAAAACAAAAATCTCTAGCTAAATGCTAACATTATTCTGCTTCTTTCTAGAGTCAGATTATTTGTTGGGAGTACGGTGTGGACTCTAGGTCTGTCAAGTTACCTTCCTCATGTCTGCCAGGCTTCTAGCCATAGTTACTCCAGCTGGTCCAGATTGTCCCTGAATGACTCATGTATTTTATAATGGTTGTAGTAACACTGTTGTACAGTGTAATCTGGAATACACTTCAGAATGTCTGCTTCCAGTGTTCCATTAACAATACCAGACACATAGAATATCGGAAGCTTAAAAAAAAAGAAAGGAAAAGAAAATAACAGCTTCCTCTGAAGGATAATAAGAAGCTCAAAAACCCCAGAATATCCAAAAGTGAACCTCTTTCAACCCTAGTTAAAAGCATTAACAATACAGGCAGTCCCCAGGTTACAAATGTCCAGTTTACAGCCAGCTCATACTTGGCCTTTAATGTTATGTAAATTTGCCCTCACTTTGAAAGGATTGAACAGATTCTTCATCACAGTCACCTTCATTTGCTGCACGTGCAGCTTTTAAATGAAAGAGCTTTGAGCCTTTTCTTAATACTAAACCAAAAAAATTGCCATCCAGTCGATTCTGACTCATAGTGATCCTCTAGTGACTCAGTGACCCTTTTCTTACACTGAAGTAAGGCTGAATAAGACCTGTATGCACGCATTATAATTTATCTACAAATTCTTAAAGACAAACTTAGGAACAGATCTCATTCATAACCCTGGGACCGCTTGTAATAAAGGTGTGAAATTTGTAAAAATCTAATTCAGGCTTTTCTTTCACATAGGTTATGATGTCTCTAGTTTTTTGTGGCAGCCCCCACTTTTTTCTCTTGAATTTTATGTTTATTTTCCTTTATTTTGTTCCCCACCCACTTTCTTCTGGTGGTGGTAGTTTGTACTACACTGTCAATCAGGAAAAGATTTATCTTTTCTCATCTGAATAGGTCCCATGCCTTTAACTTTATTCCTATAGTAGAGTCTCTGCTAAGTGTTCACCAAAACCCGTTTCATTTTACTTATGGGCGTTTGATCAGACTTCATTTTCCATCCATTCCTGCAGGTAGATGTGGCCATGTGTTCTGGCTGTGTCCTTTTAGCATCTCCTATATTTCCATTGAAAAGCCCTTTCCATCTGCAGAATAATTCTGGTCTTTTTTAGTATAATACATTTCCAGGACTTTGGACATTGCCTCTTTTGAAAAGCCTTCATTGTTATTAGTTAAAGAGAGTGTTGAAAGCCAGGCCCAGGGAACCGATATAAAGAAAGCATATTCTACATTTTAATAAGGTTTAGCCTGTATCAAGGGGGTGTTTTCAAACATATACATCCACACTTGGTCGTTTGACTTGCCTTTGAATAGTGGCAGAATATATTTAGTTTATGTGACTGTAGTTCTTAATAGTTACCTATTCTTTTTGTAGACCTACATAACAAAGTTTAAGTTAGACATTCTTGTAATAAGAAGGAATGATACGTTTTTAAATCTAAAGTTATTGTGACTTCCAAGTCCTGGCTACAGTACTCTAGTTTCTTTGGTGGGAGAAAAAACTGGGAGTTTTATACTAGAAGAATTTGGGTTCTTATGGGAATGAAAGATTATTAACAAGGCAAAATGTGTTCTAAAATATGTTAAGGTATAGGTGATCCTAGACTAGAAGTACTGATAATTTTACTTTGATTCGTTAAGTCTATGGCCTGAATCCAGCCTGAGTCAAAATGTGAATTATTGGGATAATAATAGTACTTACCTGAACAAGTTGAGAGAATTAAATGAGTTAATACAGGTATCAACACACTGATTGGCACATATTAAGTGCTCAGTAAAAACCAATTGAGTCGATCCCAACTCATAGTGACCCTATACGACATAATAGAACTGTCCCATAGGGTTTCTAAGGACAGCTGGTGGATTTGAACTGCCGACCTTTTGCTTAGCAGCCTGAGCTCTTAACCACTTGCCAGCCGGGCTCCAAGTGCTCAATAAGTGTTAGCTATTTTTGTTACTATAAGATGTTATTATCATTATTATTATTATAATCCAGAATTCCAGATTTTGCACTTTCTAGTGGTGGCCTAACCCACAAAACTCCATGGAGAATTACGCCAGGTACAAATTAGTTATCTCTAAAATCTGTAGCTCTTTCAGTTATCAATACCAGCAAGCCAGAGAGTTACGGTGAAGAAACATACACTGCTTCCCAGAATAATTGTATGTTTTCTTTAAAAGAAAAAATCATATACTAAAACCAAACCTGTTGCTGTCGAGTCAGTTCTGACTCGTAATGACCCTACACACACATATTTTTAAGTGAGTATATGTTTGTATATACATGAATATGCACACCTGCACACAGCTGTTTTAAGGTCTGTTCAGTCTTTTGAGTTTCATTTTAGCACATTCTCATTCATTTTCTGTAAATCCTACACTGAAGATTTAGACATCTATAAAGAAGGAAATGTTTTACAGGCAAAACGATAGGCTCCATTTTAATCTTGTTATGGTTAAAATAATTTTTGTTTGTTACATTAAAAATTAATCTGTTATCTGTATGTGTTCATATATGAAGTATAAACTCATCTTGTTTTCTTACCTGACTCATTGTGTGGTTCTTTGAATCTCATTAGGTCACCAAACGTGATGAAGACTCTTCTTTAATGCAGCTGAAAGAAGAATTTAGAACTTACGAAGCTCTGCGGCGAGAACACGACTCCCAGATAGTGCAGATTGCTATGGAGGCAGGTTTACGAATTGCGCCAGACCAGTGGTCCTCTTTGCTTTATGGAGACCAGTCTCACAAATCTCATATGCAGTCCATTATTGACAAGGTAGAGCCTTTTTTGTTCTTTACTCCTTGGATTAATCTTAGAGTTTTGGTAATTTATAATTTGGTAAGTCATTTATTTAACAAATATGTATTAAAGTGAATACTGTATGTCAGGCTTTTGTAAGTTATGTTTTCTGTAGCCAGGTGTCATGTTGTAACTAGTCACATCATAATACCAGTTTGTTCATATAAAGATTTGATTACTGTTGTATTATTTTATCTGAAGCCCTCCCACATTCCTTTGAGAGTTTCCTTCTTAGTTTATTATTGCCTCTCTCCCTTTTATTTTTCTCTGAGTTTTGATCATTGTGTTAACTAACAGACCTCTTACATCTCTCTGTAGTGGCTGTTTAATGGTCTGGAGGATCTTATGATTCTCAGCCAGAATAAATTTCACATAATAACAGTTACCACCGTTCTAAATTTGATCAAATTTTCGATATGCTTACTTCTGCTTCATCGGTTGTCTGTTATGATGATAAGACTACTCGGGTAGGCATCGGTAGTCATGAATTTTAGGTTAGGAACCATTATTTATATGTGACTCTAAAAGCTATATATAATTCACTTGAAACTGGAGTAATACTGTAACTGTTTTTGCTGTAATTGTATACAATGTGATACACACTATGCTTAATAATAGTAGGGAGCCCTGGTGGCACAGTGGTTAAGAGCTCAGACTGCTAACCACAAGGTTAGCAGTTTGAATGCACCAGCTGCTCCTTGGAAACCCTATGGGGCAGTTCTACTCTGTCCTGTAGGGTCGTTATGAGTCAGAATTGACTCGATGGCAACTTTTTTTTTTGGTAATAGTATTATTTTACTATTTTATCTTAATTACTTAGAATTATAGAAATGATTACCAGCTCTAGAGACCACCCTACATTTAATTAGGGAAATAGACTCAAGATGTAGAGATTAGCCTAAATGTAATAACACTTACTGAGAGTTTGCTATGTGCCAGCTGGTTTTAATAGAAGAAAGGATGGTGAGACTTCGGCTTGCTTACTTCGGTCAACTCATCAGGAAAAACCAGTCGCTAAAAAAAGGGCATCATGCTTGGTAAAGTAGAATGTGAGCAAAAATGGGGGAAACCCTCATTGAAATGGGTTAGCACAGTAGCCACAACAATGTACTCAAACATACCAATGATCATGAAGATGGCTCAGGATCAGGCAACATTTTAATTTGTTAACATAAGTTTGCCATGAGTTAGAGCCCACTTAGTGGCAACTAACAGCAGCAATCCTCTCAGCAGCACTGTATTACCCTTTTATACAGAGGCACAGGGAGGTCGGGTACATTTTCCTTGGTCATATAGCTAATAAATGACAGGGCCTGGATTTGAACGTGGGCACTTTGGCTCTAGAATCCATATTCTTAATCACTAAACCTCTTACCAGACTATTCTGACACTTTTTGTTATTCCCGAAGATAATATTCTTTGAAAGAATAGTAAACTGGTGTCAAAAGAGAATTGGGATATGTGTTCTGTAACTGCTTGACACATAATTTTCAGTATAATATATGTTGTTTGCTCTGTCATGTTAACTCTTCCCTGGATACCTTTAACCAAACTTTACCTGAAACTCCTAGCCTTGGACAGGAGCTTGTATCTGGACTTATGTAACTTACTGATTATAACTCACTGAAACTTTAGTAATGATCTCATAAAGGAGTAATTTGCTATCTCCTCTGAAGAGAAACTTGGCTTACTTTTATAAAGATTCTACAAGCAGATTGTCTTTCTTATCTGAACTGGACTATGTAACTAGGTATATATCCTGTGATAATTTTCTCACATCATGAGCAAATGCTTTGACTTTAGTATCAGAAGACCTTCGTTTAACAAACTGGTAAACAAACTTTGTAGTGTATATGACTTATCTTTACCTTTTATTGAATGCCCTTTCTGGGTGGTGGAAATTCTCATCTATATAAATAAACTGCATAGAGAGCTAAATGTTTCCAAGTAGAAACCTTTGGTTATTGTCACATAATCAAAAAAAAAAAAAAATTGGTTTTTTCTATGAAAGGTCGTACGTATGACCAGCTTAGGGGAGTTAATGCCAGAGCATGTGTCATTAAGTCTTGGGAAAATTTATAACCTGATAGTTTCCAAGAATTCCAAACCAGCATAAGATTTTTTAAGCTAGAGTCCATTTAACAGATGGACTTTCTATTGAACCTGTTAGGGTGGTATCCAGTATCATGTTCTTTGGTCTATAACAGAGCTTGAACTCAAACTCATTTTGACTGACTTCAGTTTCATTGTTCTTGCTATTGTATAGCATTATCTCTGTAGTTCCAAATTTAAATTATTTGGAAGGACCCCAAGAGCCAAACTCAACACAGTGCTGTAAAAGTGTAGGATAGAGAGAGTACTTCTAAATTAAGCAATTGAGAAAAATACCACATGTGACATTTGAGGAATGACTAGCCATTCAACTTCTACATGGATGGAAAGGGCAGACAGCAGAAGGAAGAGAGTATACAGTGTGCCAAGCTATGGTGAGAAATGCAAGGTTTGTTCAGATAGTAGGTAATCCAGTCTGGCCAAATCTTAGGAATAGGGGAAGATAAATATTAATTTTAATAAATTATAAAAATGATTTCTGGTATTGTAAATCATTTTTATTTCAAAAGGATTACCTGGCCTTTAGGAAAGTTAATATTTATCTTTTTTTAAGTTGCAGACCCCAGCATCTTTTGCACAAAGTGTTCAGGAACTAACAATTGCTCTCCAGAGGACTGGAGACCCAGCGAACTTGAACCGACTAAGACCCCATTTGGAGCTGTTGGCAAACATTGACCCTAGTCCAGGTAAACCCAAGAGAAATTAATGGACTGTCCTATGTCTGCCCTCAGTGCTGGTCAGTGATTCTTTGAATTATCTTTTGTCACATTTTCTAAAATTTCTCAGAGTAGTTAGTCCAAATCTTTTCTATAGTACTGAAGTCTCTGGCCCTACTCTTGTCCCTGTTTGTCTCAGGTTAGTTTACTTCAACTAATGTCGATTTAATACTTAACTCATATTTTGCTACTCACTTCACCAGAAAAATAGATACCCCCTGGGCTCCTTTATGTTTCCTCTTTCCCCATCCCAAATTGGGGTATATTTTACCATTCTCACCTCTTTGCCAAAGCTCCAAGTTTTTTCTCATTTTTCTACATCATATGTCCTTAATTGCATTTCCTTGATCGCATTTTTCCCCCCTCCATGATATCTTGTTCCATCAAGTATCCTCTCTTGCATATCTTTACTTTATAAACCCTTTCCTATTCCTTCCCCTTGACCTGAAGTTCCACCCAACCTTCATTTTCCACCTAATACATCTTAGATATTTTGGCTTCTATCTCTGTCCTGCTTTTATTCCTGAACTGAAACTCTTAGCATTCACTAGTAATTTCCCTGTCTCTAATTCCGAAGTCCTTAAATATACTTGAATTGTTTTCAGAATTTGATAATGTTGTTGACCACTTACTTGATATAGAAACTCTGCTGACACCTTGTCTGTAGTGTCATGGTTCTCTTCTGTCGTCTCCTTTTGACTTCCTTCTTCTCTTGCTCACAAGAGTAGGCAGGTTGTGTTCTTGGAACTTTATTTTCTCTGCATTGTCTGTTGATGGTGATCATTCATACCTGGCAATCAGGTATTACCTCTGTATAGATAATAGACTTCCCGATATCTCTACCACTATTATCTCTTCATTGTTCAGACCTGCTCTCCCAAATGTGTACTGAGATTCTTCATCATCTCCTCTGTGTGTTTTAAAGTGAACTTGTCTTTACTTGATATCTGCTCTTCCTCCTGTGTTCCCTCTCTCTATTAATGACCTCATTCTCTGAGGTACGCAAGCTTACAGTCTGAGTCTTGGTTGTCTTGCCTTATATCTTTTCCCTTCACTTAATCTACATACCATTTCAGACAACAGGATCTGTCTGTTTTTCTTTCAGAATGTCCCTCTATTCCGTGCCTACTAATACTGTCTCGGTGAGGACCTCATTCCTTTTCTCTGAGACTAAATGTCTTTCAGCTTTGTCTACTCTTTTAATTCTTCCAGTCCAGTCTACTTATTGCTGCAAAATAAGTCACATCTCTGATCTGACGTCTATACTCATAAACTTACAGTGACACTCCATTTCTTATAGAATAAGGTCCAGAACTCTTGATTATGGCAGTCAAAGCATTCTAATATTTATAAACCCACCTTTGTAGATTTATCTCCCAAAATTGCTTAATCAAACCAGATCAGATCTGTTCCTAGAACATACAGTATTTTGTTTTATTTTTTCCTTTGATCATTCTGAGCAATCAAAAGAGGACTTCCACAAGCTCTTATCTTACCAACACATCAACCTGTCTGCCTACATCTGTGCCAATATATTCTGCTCTCCTCTTGTAACAGTTGATAAACTGTACTCTTAGCTCTGGCCACCCTCTCTCCTCATCCACTAGATATCATCTCATCAGGTATATCCTTTTAGTACTTTAGTTTATCATCAGTTTTCCTTTTCTGCTAGAATACTTCTGTCAACATACAAATACAGTAAAGCCTCTGAAAGCTGGAAACTGTAAGGCAGAAACCTGTCAGAGAAGGAAAACTCAAATATTTCCACTAAAATGAGAGAGAAAAAAGTAAGATTGCACCCTGTCAAAGGCAGAAAACTTGTGAGACCCAGAAAAAAAGGCAGTTCCATAGAGTTCTGGCTTTCAAAGTTTTCAGTGTACGTGTTATTTATTTCATCTTAGCCCACTTTTGACTCCATTACCTATCCAGCTACCACTCCATTTCTCTCCTTTTTATAGCACTCTGTTGAACCCCCTCCTGTCAGGCATTTATCTCTGCCACTCTACCAAAACTGCTTTTGTCAGAGTCAACAGGTGATTTCCATGTTGCTAATTCCAAAGGTGAATTCTTGGTTCTCATTGTATTTGACCTGTCAGCAGCATTTAACGTTGTCATTACTCTCATCTTGAAACACGTTTTTCACTTAGCTTCCAGGCTGCCACACTCTCCGAGTTTTCTTTTTACTTTATTAGACCCTCATTCTCAACCTCCTTTGCGGATTTCTTCTCATTTCCATAACCTCTGTCATTTGGAGTGCACCAGTGTTTAGTCCTTGTACCTCTTCTCTTTCCTGTTTGTACCTGTTCCCAAGATAATCTCATCTGGTTTCATGGCTTTAAATATCACCTATATGACTCACAAATGTCCTATATTTCATCAGTTCTGAGGCCTACATTTTTTCCATATTTTAGCATTTCTGGAATTGGTATGCATTTATACAACTGATGACATGTCATAATTTAATTAGCAGTGTTCTTTCTCTTTAAATAGCACATAAAATAATGATGTGTGTTACAGTTGATGGTGTTTTACAGTCTATGAAACATATCTTCAGCCCAGACCTTTTTCCTAAACATTTATGTATATGACTGCCTACTCAGCATCCAACAGCTCTATTTGAATATTTAATAAACATTTCAGACTTAACCTGTCTAAAAATGAGCTCCAATCTCTGCAGTCCTGTTACTGGCCATGCCATCCTTCCAGTTGCTCAGTCCAAAAACCCTGGAGATGTCAACTCTTTCTTGTATAATGTATAGCTGATCCGTCAGCAAATTTTATAGGCTCTACCTTTAAAATCCATCTATAATCAGTTGACTTCTTACCACTCTCACTGCTACTGTCCTCATCTAAGCTATTATCATCTCTCTTCATGTGTTATGGAATAGCCTACTATTGTCTGGTTTTAGCATAAGAGCAAGAATGATCCTGTCACCCCTCTGCTCAGAAATTCTCCAGTGGCTTCCTGTCACTCACAGTAAAAGCCAAAATCCTTTCCATGATGTACAAGGTTTCTCATGATCTGGTCTTTCCATTACCTCTCTGATTTCATCTCCTACTCTTATTTTTCTACCTCTCTTGTGCAGTTCTCCCTCCCTCCATGGAGCATGCCAGGCACACTCCCATATCTGGGCCTTTGCACTTATTCTTCCCTCTACCTAGAATGTTTTCCCCCCAGTTTATCCACAAGGCACACACCGTCACTTCCTTCAGGTTTTTAATTAAAACTTTTCAAGGAGGCCTTCACTGGCTACCTGTCTGAAATTTTACATATACCTATCCAACTCCCTTTCCTTGCTCTTGTGTTTTCAACTCATTACTATCTAAATACTCTATATTTTAATTACTCTGTATGTATTATCTTGTTTCATTGTCTGGCCCCTTTCCTAGAATGTAACATTTTTTGTTGTGTTTGCTACTGCTTTCTGCTTTCTTAGCAACTACAAAAATACCTGGGACTTAGTAGATGCTCTAAAATTACTTTCTGAATGAATGTTCCCTTCACCTCTCCATCTGTACCTTCTTTTCCTGTTGAAATTCTATGTATACTTCAAAGCTCAGTTCAGATGCCGTAACCTAGAAGTGTGTAAGTGAGGTCTACACATCACCTTTCAGGGTGTTTCCAGAAGGAAGTCATCTTTATTTCTGTATTCTCATTTCATTTTATATTTCTTTTTGAGAACATTTTATATTAAGGCTGATGGTTAATTTTTCTTTAAAAAAATCAGTGCTGGTACTGGGCAAATACTTACTGATGAAGAGGATGTGTAGCAGTTGCTTCATAGCACTGGTGGTACAGTGGTTAAGCATTCGGTTGCTAACCAAAAGGTCAGCAGTTCATATCCACCAGACACTCCCTGGAAACCTTACAGGGCAGTTCTGTTCTGTCTTACAGGGTCGCTATAAGTCGGAGTCAGTGCAATGGTGACGGGTTTGGTTTGGTTTCTTTCTTTTTTTTTTTCTTAATACTTCTTGAACATTCTGTTTACTAATATATGCTTTATGTAAAACTTCAAAATAGACATTGCATATTGGCAGTCAGTTTAGTTTGGTTCACACAGTGTTGGTTTGCACAATGTTCTAAAGTTGTTAGGTGCCAACTCTTAAAAACGGGAAATTTTACTTAAAAATCTCAAATTTAATCTTTCCCTGGGGAAAAAATGGGGTATCTGCCATACTAGCTTTGCATCTTCACCTAACAACAATCAGCTATAGCTGAGTAGTAACTGTACCCTTAGATGAGACATAACACTACATACCTGTCACACTGGCTAAAATAAAAATTAGCGACTATACCAAGTACTGCAAAGGTCTAGAGAAACTAGACCACTCGCATTGCTGGTGGGAATGTAAAATTTTACAGCCACTCTGGAAGACAGTTCGGCAGTTTCTTAAAAAACTAAACACAAAACTACCATGTGACAGTCTAGTCTTTGTCACTCACTATTGTCTCTTCAACACTGAGGGTCTAATGACAGTTGCAATTTATTGGCTGGCCTATTTAATTCCTTTATGCTACCTTCCCTTTCCCTGTAGTTATTTTTGTTTACAGTTCCAGCTTTAAAAGAATATATCTGGTTCTTTAAAATGATGCTTAGGTGAACAAGCTATTATTTGTATATATGTATATATATATGTATAAAGCTCAACTTAATTTTCACTGAAGTGCTAACTAACATCAACTACTATATATTCCTTTATTAATTTAATATTGGGCAAAACCTTGAATAACAATAATTTTTCAATTTCATTTTTTCATGTGCTGCGTAGATGCTCCTCCTCCTACTTGGGAACAGCTAGAAAATGGGCTGGTTGCTGTGCGTACAGTGGTGCATGGGCTGGTTGATTATATCCAGAACCACAGCAAAAAAGGAGCAGATCAACAGCAGGTAAGGGAGAGGTTTGAAACTAGAGGTAAGCCACTATGGGAGTTACCTACAGACAGAAGCAAAGCCAAAAAGTTGACATGAAGACTCTGATTATAGAAACTAAATTAGTGTAGCGTGTTTAGAAGTCAGTTTACTAGATTAGCCTGGTGATTTTATCTGACAACATTGAAATTAAGTAATTATTGTCAGTCTAGTGTTGTGCTGGGGTTACTTTTCATGTTGCATATAGCAGTATTTGATGGATCAAATAGATTCTGTGCTAACAGTTTATTCCATTTAAATGAGGTTATTCTCTCTTAGTATTACATTTCATTTTGACAATAGATATCTTTTAAGTACAGCTAATTCTATATCTCTCCAATAAAGTCTGTTAATGCCAAATTTTCCTCAGTTTTTTAAATGCAATATGTGGCAGTAAAATGTAATAACTTATGTTATGGCTGAAATTTTCAGTTTTATCCCCAGTAATTCTATTTTGCCTTCAGGACTTAAGTTAGATTCATTAGATCTCTTATTTTGCAGTAGTGACCTTTGAACTTAAAACTATGGTATTAATTTACCTGGCTTAAGTAAATATAAACAACAATAGATTGTTCAATATTTTTTTCCTTGAGAGGCAAGAAATACCAAAAAAAAAGTTAATTTAGAATAATCTAGATGTCATGTTTCTGATCTTTCTAAACACAGGTCACAGATTTTTTTATGATTAAGAAATGGAAGAAAGGAAAAACCTACTGTTTTTAATTCCCTGTTCATTAGACATCTGAATAATGTAACAAAAATAACAACACTAACCTTTTTTAAGGTCTGGCAATCAGTAATGAAATACACTAAATTTTTTTTTCAGCCTAGTGTTGTGTTTGAGATATCTCATTAACTCCCAGATCATTCCTCCTGCCTGTTCCTTGAATTGTAAATAATATATTTCATTTGTACCTTTGGAGATACTTTAAGTCCTTTGTATATTCTTCTGCATGTCGAGAAGAATTGGTTATAGAATATTCTTTAATTATAGGTCCTATTTTAGATTTTGTTACAAAGAAGCATAATTATATCATATACCTATGTTGAACACTGTACAAAACAAATATTAGATGACAGTTTTAAACATTTTAAAGTTCTAAATGCCTGTGTTTTGTCCATTATAATATCTGGAAAGATGATTATTGACTACCCTAAGATTTATGTGATGTTACATGTTTGAGAATAATACTAACATATCAGGAAAGTCAGAACCATATTTTTATTTTTTGGACTCTGAGATTTTAGACACAATGACTTTCCAACACTTTTGCTCTCGGTAGTCTAGGTAAGCGTGAATTAGTCTGAATAACCCATTTAGATTATCAGGATCCTTAAACAGCAACACAAAATTTAAATCTTTTTTTTTTTTTAAGTGTCTAATGTTTTGATATTGGTCTTAGCCTCCACAGCATAGCAAATACAAAACATACATGTGTCGAGATATGAAGCAGAGAGGAGGATGCCCTCGTGGGGCCAGCTGTACATTTGCACACTCTCAGGAGGAACTGGAAAAGTAAGTGTCCCTTTATGAAAATCACTAGCCTCAGCTTTCCAGTAATTCGTTATGAAATGAGATAGAATTATTAAGTTGATTAATTTGCTGACAGTGAGAAATACAAAAAGAGTAGTTGTATTATCTTCGATGAATAGGGGGTTTTTAGAATGTAATACATCACTTAAAAAGAAGAAAACCAAAGTAGTGTCTTCAGCTTTCTTTACGTTGTGCCAAAAAACAGGAAACTATTTTACAGTTGTTTTTGTTTTGTGCTGTGAAGTCAGTTCCAACTCATAGCCACCCTATAGGACAGAGTAGAACTGCCCTAGAGGGTTTCCTAGGCAGTAATCTTTCTGAGAGCATATCGCCAGGTCTTTTCTCCCATGGAAGGGCTGGTGGGTTAAAACCACCAACCTTTCAAGTGCTTAATTGTTGTGCCACCAGGGCACCTTATTTTATGGTTAACTAAATCTAAAAGTAAATCTTTTTTGCTCCAAAAAATAATAAAGTTCAAATAGTTGTCATCAATTTTAACTGATTTTAATAGCTCAGTGCTTTCCAGTAGAAAAATTTGCCCTTCGTTCTATTCACGAAATTAATTTAATGCCAGACTCAATTTCACAGGTTTTTTCAGACATCAAGAACCAGATAATTCCAGTGATGTTAAATTTTCAAGCACATGGAAGAAAAGAAATTCTATCAATTCTCTTTTTTATAAAGCCAGTGTAATACTGACACCAAATTTGACAAAGCACAATTAAAGAAAACTGCAAATCTGTCTTATGTAATTAAGTACAAAGGTAGCTCCATACAATTACTATAGGAGAAATACCATGTGATCATATCCAAAGATGCCAAAAGGTATTTGAATAAAATCAAATAACCAATTATAGATAAAAACTATTTTACAACAAAAATATCATACTTTCTCAACAAGATAATAATTTGTATCATATCAAAAGGCAGCATGATGCTTAATAAAATAGTAGATTCAGTCTATTAAAGTCAAGAATAAGGCAAAATTTTCTACTGGTAAGACTATTATTTGACATTCTGGAAGTAGTATCTAATGTTCATAAACGAGAATAGAGTAGCCATAAGATTATTACGTGGGAGAAAACCCAAGAGAAGTACTAGAAACAAAAGAAACAAGAATTTAGTGAGGTGGCAAATAAAAAAATTATAAAAACGAATTGTTCTCATATAAACAGTTAAATAATGTGAAATTAAAGATTCCATTCACAGCAGCAACAACAAATAATGAACTTATAAGAACTATCCAGGAATTATTAAACTATCTCAGGAACATAAAAGAAGACCTAAATAAATGAAGAAACATACTATGTTCTTGCATAAAAAGGCTTGACATTATAAAGGTTTCATTGTCCCCTAAATTAAACAGTATATTTGGTGAAATCCCAATTAAAATCTCAACACAGTGATTGTTAGGACCTAACAAAATCATTCATTTGGAAGAATAAATATGTGAGAACAGCCATGAAAATTCTGAAAGAGGAAGAGTATCAGGGACTAGACTAATGGCTATTAACCTGTACTGTGAGCTAAAGTGAATATAAAGACTCTGGTAGTCACATAAAAATAGATTAGTGAAATACAATAGAGAATTTAGAAAAGGTTTCAGATACATGTAGGAAATTAGCATATGTGATAAAGGTGACATTTCACATCAATGGCAAAAAAGATGATGGTGAAACAGCTGGCTTTCCATTAGCAAAGTGATTAGAGCTGAATCCTAACTTCACTACGTTGTTGTATACCAAAATGGATTTTAGATGTATCAGAGATTTAAATATTTAGGGAAAAAACCATAAGAGTATTAAGGGATTTTTTAAAACAGAATCTTACATTAGGAAAGGATTATTTCAGAATGATAGTCCAGCATCCATAAAGGAAATGATTATAAATTTGATTACTTAAACATGATATTTTTGAACTATCAAATTTACAAAGACTGATACTACCTAGTGTTTGATGAAGAATTGGGGGGAATTTTTTTTTCGTTTATTATCGGTAGAATATAACCTTTTTGGAGGGCAGTTTCTAATGTGCATATACCCTTTGACCTAGCAGTTCTGCTTCTAGTCATTCATGAAAGAGTGTAAGTACATGTAATGATTATTCATTAAACCATTGTTTCAGTAGCATGAAATTAGGAACAACCTATAATAAAACGACATAGAGAAATATCCAAGATTATTAAATGGAGAAAAAAAAATTATCAAGCATCCATATATGACTTTTTCTATAAAGAAGAGAAAAATCTATGATTATATACCAAACTCTTAACAGTGGTTACCTCTGAAGGGTAGTTATTGTTTTTTTTTTTCCTCCCCCTAAAATTTGTCAGATATGGGAAACATTTGGAAAAATAGCATTACTCTTAATTAACTTTTTAAAAATGCAGTAACATTTATAAGTAGACTTAACTTTCATTGTTGAGGGATGAAGGTGCTGGAGCCTGATGGCTTAATTTTTCTCCTGTGGTTAGATTTAGAATTTACATGCCTTTTATACCACAGCTTCTGTTTAAATTTAGACCATTTTTCTAATCTATTTCTATTAAGCTACTTTTAAAATAGTTTGTCATGTGTAGGCACACATAGAATCAGCATCTCTGAATCAGTTCTGATAAAATTACTTTTCTTGATAGTTTAAATTTTTTAATGGAGTGGTAACTTTTTCTCAATGTACACAGTGGGTTTTTTGTTTTATTCTTAATTTTTAATATAGGAGCCTTGGTGGCGCAGCGGTTAAGAGCTTGGCTGCTAACCGAAAGGTCAGCAGTTCAAATGCACGAACCTCTCCTTGGAAACCCTATGGGGCAGTTCTTCTCTGTCCTGTAAGGTCGCTGTGAGTCGGAATAGACTTGACAGTGGCAGGATTTTTGTTTGTTTGTTTTTGGTATCCCAAGGCATTTGAGGGAAAGCTAAAGTAACGTATTTGAGAAACTGTCTTCTAAAAATTTTTCTACCTTCTCCAGTAAGTGTTAGGGATAGAGATTTCAACAACAACAACAACAAAAATGTAATATTAGCAAGATTTGTTTGTTGAAATATTACACACGAATTTTATACTTAATCAGTGTGTCTTACTGCATGAGATCATATAGATTACATACACACAGGCATGTTCTTAAGTTGATAGCTAGAAGCAGTGTTCAAGAGAGAATTCTAGAAAATAATGTGTTCAGAATCTTTTCCTTTTTCATCTGTTTCTTAAATACATTTTAGTTCTTGGTTTAGTTTTTATATTTTTGGTTTCTGGTATTCTGTCTTTGCTTTTTATATAGATTTCGTAAAATGAACAAACGCTTAGTTCCCAGAAGACCCCTGAGTGCCTCTTTGGGTCATCTTAATGAGGTGGGCCTGCCTTCAGCAGCTATCCTTCCAGATGAAGGTGCAGTGGATCTGCCTAGCAGAAAACCCCCTGCTCTGCCAAATGGAATTGTATCAGCAGGGAACACCGTCACACAGCTAATTCCACGAGGGACGGACCCCAGCTACGATTCTAGTCTGAAGCCAGGAAAGATAGATCATCTGAGCAGTAGTGCCCCTGGATCCCCTCCTGACCTGTACGTTTTTCCTAACTCTTATTTAAACTTTCTTCTTATAAACATAAAGTAGAGGGAAAAAGGAATAATCAGTGTCTTTTAGGGGAAAAAAAACTTGATTTTTTGGCTTCATTTTGTTCTGTCTTTTCCTTCTATTTTCTGTGCTAGTGATTTTTAACAATGAATTAGCATAGGTAAAATAAGATCAAAGTTTGCAAATTTTGTAGGTGATAACCATTGGAATAAACCATTTTCCCAAATTGTAGCAATCTTTGTATTTAACAATTGTGTACATTAGAAGTATTTTAGGGACCTTAAACTCGACTTTCACAATCTTATTCCCTTAGACTGGAATCTGTCCCTAAGAGTATTTCTGCCTTACCTGTGAATCCACATCCTGTACCTCCAAGGGGGCCAACAGATCTGCCTCCCATGCCTGTCACCAAACCACTTCAGATGGTACCACGAGGTTCTCAGTTATATCCAGCACAACAGGCAGATGTTTATTATCAGGATCCTCGAGGAGCTGCTCCACCATTTGAACCAGCACCTTATCAGCAGGGTAATGATCTTTCATCTTTGTTGCTCAGTGTTCTTAGGACTTATGAGTACTATCCAAGTAAGAGTGAACATACTCACAGTAGCCTCCTTAATACATTTTTAAATACTTTGGAAAAACTGAGATGATCATCTGAATAGTAGGAAATAAATAAAGTAGCAAAGCTATAAAAAGCAAACGCCCTATTTACTAACAGCAGTTGTATGTTATACAACTGCCACATCTTTCTCCCGTGGAACAGGTGGTAGGTTCAAACTGCCAACCTTTCAATTAGCAGCTGAGCACATAACCACTGCACCACCAGGTCACCTTAGATGTATGTTAAATGTATTTATACACTTTTGGAAATAAGTCATCCATGTAGACAGTGGAAATTTGCTAAGTATGGGACTATATGGTCACCTGACCAAATTTTTCTACAAGCATAAAAAATATTACAATGGGTATAAATCAAATGCACAGTACATTTTTTTTTCCTTTTAGTTATCACCTAATATTATTTTTCTGTCTTCCAACACTCTTGGGTCCAGTAATGTAAATGAAAGTAGCATATATACCTTTAGAGAGTTTATAGTGTAGAATCAATAGTTGTAAAGAATAGAAAACTATTTGTGTGTGTGAGAGAGAGTGCGTGTATTAAAAGTTAAGTTGTGGAACAATGATGAATCTGTGATGCATCTCATAACATGGATGAAACTGGAGGACATTATGCTGAGTGAAATAAGTCAATCACAAAAGGACAAATATTGTATGAGACCTCTATTGTAA